TTTTTTTATATGTACTTGCATCATGACATTGAGAGAAAATACGTTTTTGTTTGTGTTCTGCAGGAAGACAAAAAAAGCAATGATTAAAATTCAAAGACCCCCTTGTTTTTCACTCTCCTAACCCCCCTCCACCCTTCATGCTCTCCTTTCTTGGCAGTAAGGCATCATAAAGTGAAGTCTTACAGCTTTTTGAGGGTTAAAACAACCCATTTTGGTTTAACAAGGTGATCCAGTGTGATTTCTTTCCCCCTCTCCTCCTCTTCGCTTGTCTTTCTCTCTCCTCGCACTTCTTAAACCAACTGACAGAATATCCTGTTTTGCATCCTCTCTCTCTCTCTCTCTCTCTCTCTCCCCTCCTTTTTTTTCTCTCCTCGCACCCCTTTTCCCTCCTTTTCTCCTTAAAGGCCTTGACAGGCTCGCTGGGGATAAAAACCTGCAGCCCGGGGGAGGTGAGTGACATTTTGGAGCAAGATGGCAAGAGGGACGGTGGCCACGTACCTGCATGGAGTGCTTCTCCTGACTCTGTGGAAACCCTCGCTGCAAGGAGGTGGGTCCCGTTCACCTGCGGGTCAGGTGCCACACAACTCTGTGMAGCTGTGCCAGCAGACAAGAGATATAAGAGGAGAGCTTTTTCTTTGCTGATGGTTGAATAGATTTTATTTAATTTATTTAGAAAMCCTTGTGGGCTGACAGTAACGATAGCAATAATCATGCAGAACTGTTCTATAAGTGCAGCATTTCTTGAAAAACTGAGAAGAAGTCATGATTTTTAACTAGAAGGAACTTTGTTTTCTTACATTTACTCAATTCAGGTGTAATAATTTTACATCCATCTATTGCATTTTGCAGCAGAAGTGGTGAAGTAAAAAAGTTAAAGAACAGTTCTGCAGATCAGATTCATATTTAGCTGCAGCGTCTGAGCTGAGTTTTCAGTAGACAGGTGTTTTAAGCCCACCATTCAAATTATTTACCCAAAATCTTTATATATATAATTGTGAAATATCTTCAAAGGTTTTAGCTTTAACTTAAATTATAAAAGAACTTTCCATAACTCAGTAATAAACTTTTAGAATAACAAACATGCTTGACGTGTTTGATTTTAAAATACAATATGTTTGTGGGTTTTTAATCTAAAATTCACGGGGCAGGAGATCTAGGGCAGAGGTTCTAAAACTGGGGTCTCAGGACCCCCAGGGGTCTGTGAGTCATGTCTTGGGGGTCCTCAAAAAATTTAAATAAATTGTTAATTTGTTTTTTTTAATGCATATAGGGAATAATGCACTAATAAAAAAAATACTAAACCAAACAAAAAAATATTACCATGGCATTTAGGGGTTAAAATAACAGTAAATTGTTTAGCATTAACAACATGGGGTTTATGAGGGGGTCCCTGGAATTTTTTTCAACCTTGTAAGGGGTCCCCAGACCCAAAATGTTTGAGAACCACTGATCTAGGGGGTTCCCAAACTWTTCAGTCTTTCATCAACAAAATAAAAACTGCAGATAAGTGACTCCAAGTACTGGTTGAAGCAAACAAATATGGATAAAATTCCATTTAGCAAAAAATCTTGTCAACCAATAGATTCTTTATTTTACGTTTATAACTGGTACTTTTGCCTTAAAATGAAGGTAAATATTTGGTAATCAATTAGTTTGATTTTTGTGGATCTTCTCAAGACTGCTTAGTGTTTTGTGACACAAAACGTTGGCTTCCAACCTCAATTATATCAACCACTGGTCTGACAGCAACACTATAACCGTGTGTTTCAAGTATTATGCCTCTAAATTCTTATTTTATTATATTTTTGTGTCTAATTTTGAGTTAATCAAGGCTAAGAGAATCTTTTCACTGTTTTTCATGATGTAATTCAATCTAAAATTAGTTTTAAAACTCTATATTTGGCTTTGATTAATTCTGTTGAATGAGTGCTTCTATTTTGAGGTACTTAAATGCTTCAGTTAGTTTGAATTAAAAAAAAAACCTCATGGCAACAGCAAGAGTTTATCTTTGTTATAATTAGTACGTTTTAGAAGCTCAGAATGTACCCAGAACACCTAAACAATTTTCTTCCTGGGTAAAACGTTGCCCATTTGACTTTTAAACAAAGTGGAACAATTTATCCCTGMATGTTTCCATCACCTGGCGACTGTAACGAGCCAAAGCTGCTCTCTGCACCACACTACAAAGTCTTTCTGCGGCTTTTCTTTGTCTTAATTAAATCAGAGGGAAGTGTAGAGCTGTCAGGAAATGAGGGGTGAACGGAGGATTGTGTAAACTGAGGTCCTCGGCAGCGAGGGACGCTGTTACAAACCACAGYTCCTTCAGCCATCGGGATGTGTAACTTCTGAGTCATCAAAACAAAACTGGGAGTGAATCCATTCAGTAGTTTCCTCTGAACATGATTACCGGCGTGTACATCACGTCATAAGCCTCGTGAGGCTTGTCGTAAACAGCACCAAATTCATGGATTTTATRAACCAAAGATATTGAACAAACACAGAAGAAAAAGGATTAAACAATAGATCCAAAGTATAGTATGATTCATCCAATAATTGAAAACATGTTCCAATTTGAACCACAAATTTTAACCAGCTGGCTGCAGCAGAGAAAACAGCCACCAAACTGTTAAGTTCTTTGGAGCCAGTCTGGCATGGCCAACAGCAGCGATGGCTGATATGAGATTAAATAAGACTCATAATTAAACACGACTGGCAATGAAGATAGCAATCTTTCAAAACAATAAACCCATTTTTGCTCAATTTGAGTGTAAATTTGCAGTTGTAAAGTAACTAAGTACAAATACTTCTTTACTGTAAAGTAGAATTTTTGGGTATGTAATTATTTTTCTGCCTACTTTTTACTTCTACTTCTTACATTTTCACATAATTATCTGTACTTTCTACTCTTTACATTTTAAAAAAAGACAAGAAGTGACAATTTTCTATAGAAAATT